TATGCAGTGACTGTCTTCTTCCACAACCAGGCACTGCACAATATTTTGTATTGATCGGTAGCTCGATCCTATGTTATTTAGCTATGCGTGTAATGCGCGAATCAGTGGGCGGGGCTAAACCGGCTGTGTTGAAGTAGGAGTTGATCTCCTAATGCGGGGGTGGTGTTTTATCCTCTTTGACGTCATAGTTCCCCACTTTGAAAAATGAGTCGTTTGCTGAGGCTGGTGTCAATAAAAGCTTTTGTTGGACTAACAAGGACGTTTTCAGTTCTGAAACTTACAGGACATTCTTATAATATGATGACCTCTTAGATGTCAAAAGTTCTCAGTTCATCGCCCCTTTAATTAGCAGAGCATATACTGTACACCTCAGGAGTAAGTCTGCCCACATTTGTGACCAAATACTTGAGGAGTCATGGATCGAGTCAAGTACTGTCCAAATGTTTCTTAAATAACTGGAAGCGAGTCTTCAGCACATTTCTGACTTCCTGCTAAGATTGCTCCCGGAAAGATTGAGGAATTTATGTTGGTTTTTGCCTAAAAATGTATGGTTGAGCTCAGCATCTCAGTAAACCCTACAGAAACAAGTTCCATCTGGAGCAGGATGGGGTCGTGGGGAATTATGTAAATCTGCCCCTCTGAGATGAAAGCGAGGAGACATCATGGTTGAGGGTGAATTTGGCTGCTCTGGGTCTGAGGACACCACACACAGAGACTGCACAAGAGAAAAGCTCCAGGAGACTTTTTGAAAGGAACAAGCTATATAAAAGGGTTCTACATTGAATTGCGGCCTGTGGGAAGCTTTAATGCAAGTCTTTTTTCATTTATTTATTTGTGTCACTAAGGCACCACTGGCACGGAAATTCTTTGAACACACATTGAATGATATGACTAAATAAAAGCACAAAGTTTTCTTTAATGGAATTTGCTAATTTGGGTTGTCTTTATAAGATGATTCCTTTTAGCAGCAGATGGGCGACCATACGTTTTGTGTTCTCGGCAGCATTCCTCAACAAATCTTTCAAGAAGGTTCAAGAATGGGTAAAAATCTATTTTACGGCTGGTGCTGGGGCTACTTAGATATAGATTTGGTGAGTGTTCGAACTGTGTCAGAGCTCTTGGGGGTTATCCTCCTTTCGCTAATTTTTGAAGGTGGATGAGGGGGTTGATTAGCCCTTATATGTAAAATAATGATAATAATAATAATAAAAATAGTTGCAAGCAGCAATTATCTGGGCCAAGTACAACAAAAGCAAACAAGTAAGCTAGCCACCACATGTGTCATTGTCACCAAATTAGGGCTGCAACTAACGATTATTTTGATAATCGATTAATCGGACGATTATTTTTTCGATTAATCGATTAATCGGATAAAGAATTATATTCCATTTTTTTTGTTTATTATAAAAAAATAAAACCCTAAAAACCACACTCTTTTGTGTGTTATACAATCTACTTAATACAGACAACTTCATTATAAAGAAAAACAACAAATAAAAAATATATATATGACCATAACCTATGACAAAAATGCTATTGTAAACTAGATTAGTGGATAACTCAGCAAAACTTAGCCTAGAAATATCACAAGTGCACAATAATTTTATAAAATCTGAACATTTAGTGAAAAAAAACATTCCTTAGTGGGGAACAAATAAGAGACAATAAGTGTAGCACTAACTCTGGTAAAACGTACACATTGCTCTTTGTATTGTTGTTATACATTCATGAAAAACATCGTAAAAATCAGATGCACAACTGTTTTAAATGTAAAGCACAGCTGTTTAGTGAGGAAGCAAAATATAATAGATAGGACAGAACAAGAAAGGCTATTAATAAGCTTTCATTGCGCAAAAGTATTATGACATGATCATGAAAGAGCTGCACAAAGTGCTTATGCGCATCGCGAGCGCTGAATGATGCGCTTGAAGCAACACGGAGTCACTGGGCGGCGCGCAGCTCTTCAGTGTCCGCCGCATTAAAGTTAAAAGCACCAAAGAAAGAGAAAGACATATTGACTGTGTATTATTCAGGATCTATGCAATAGTTTATTAAGACTTTTCTTTTAACAGTTTTAAATTTCAGTTAGGCTACTGTGCACGTGAAGAACAATTATACTGCGCCGACTCTACTATACACTGTAAAAAATGCCTGTGAAATCTACAGTTATTTACTGTAGATGTCACAGTAACAATACTGTAAAAGATTTTTACAGTAGAATATTGTAAAGTTTACAGTAAGACCTTAAAAATCACAGTAGTTCAAGCATTACAGTGGAAATCACAGTAGTCAAAGCATTACTGTAAAAAATCACAATACAGCCACTAAAGTACTGTAAATAGTAAAGTAAACTACTGTAATTTTCCTTTTTTTATCAAATCTTTCTTTGTAACCCTTGTGTTGTAACTTGTACTCTGATGCACCTGCTGCATGAGCTTTATATTCCATTATATAAATATATATATAAAGAATTTAAATATCTTTTGTTTGTTTGTATTTGTGACTGTAAATGGGTGTTAACAGGGCATAAACATATTTAATCCTTATCTTAAACTTCTCCAAAGTCTCCCCTAACAATATAGGCTTCATAAATGCATAATTTTTTGAGATATCATATCATCCTCTGATTTGAAATGAAGCATGACCATTGGTTATAAGTTGCAATAGTATTCACACTTTTCTATTAATATTAACATATACATTTAATAAATATATTCTTAATGTTGGTTGTTTTTATCTTTTAGCTTAACGTTATATACTTTAATATTAATAACATTTGATTAATCATGAGTTTTGAATTTGAGCCAAAACTCTCAAGCTTTCTAAGTATGTTTTGATTAATGTATCTATTCAAAATGAAGAAACCTTTTTATTATGTGTAGGTTATGTCATGTGCATTACTTTCCAAAATTGGGGCTGCCTGGTTAACTCATAAATACGTAACATGGGATTTTTATTTTACAAAAATCAGTGTTATATATATATATATATATATATATATATATTTTCGAAAGCAGGAGAGATAAATGTGCAAGTTTCCAGAGCTGTTTCTGTGCTGCAAGGCGAAATCAAAACGCCGTCAGAGTGGGCGGGGTTTAGGCAGTCAAAGCTAGAGTCTGTTAGAAAAAAGCGCGAAAGAAGCATTTGAATTTCTGTTTCGTCGTCAGTGACAGAAAAGCTAAGTTAATAGTCGAATTTACGTTTTCGTAACAGCCTTTAACGTTAAGCTCCGTTAATAAGTCTAGTATTATTCAAATGTGCGTTTCTTTATACACGGCTTTGTCTTGTGGTTGTAACGTTATTTATTTTGTTTTCGTCTTTGTGTTGATTTCTTTCACTTTTTGCCTGAGAGGAATTCAGCGAAAACGTTTCCGTGAGAGCGCCGACGGAGACGTTTTTACAGCCTTTAAACGTTAGCTATTAGTATTAGTTAGCCAACAGTTTAACTAGTTATCGGTAGCTAGCTAGCCAGGAGAATATTTTTCCCCCACCCGTTGCCTCAGCCGGAGTTTCCATCTTGGGATCGCGGATCCTTCACCAACTGCTAATGGGGATTCGGGACTTCCAGAAAATCAGTAAGTTAAGTAACGTTAACTTTACGTACCATTTTACACCCCCCAACATAATGCAGGTTGACAAGCCTCCAATTGTTCAAGTAAATACAGGTTTGTTTGTGTCAGGTTTATGTTATTGGTGGTTGAGCATTTTTTCTTTAATAGACCTCACCTCACAATAAATAATAACGTTAAGTTATAACATGGTGCTAACGTCTATCTCAATTATTGGTTAAATGCTGGGTAACTTAACAGTTAAGTCACTGGTGTCCACTGTGTGAACAATATTTTAATTAAGAGAAAATTGATGTAACTTAGAGTGGTAATTGATAAAGTTATTGTGGTAAGTTACTTCGTTTTTTTATGAGTAAACATGCACAAACCTAAAGAGAAAAAAAAGGCTCATTGCTTTCTTATCAACAATTTTTATAAAGCTTTTTCTATCCTAGTTAGTTACCTTCTTTCGAGTGACTCTTTATCTTTGCTGGCATAGGAGACTAACGGTACCACTCCCTCAGATGTAGAGGCCCAGCTGTCTCCTCCCTATCACTCCAAGGATTATCATGCTTGGTAAGTTTCACATTCACTGTTAACAAATCCTTAATGTATAACTTTATGCACAAGCAAAGCAACGTTTCTGGAAAACACTCGTGAATGCAATGAGTTTGTGTCGTGCCATTCTCTGCACTAGTCAGCAGTCACTTCAAAAACTAAAGTTATGTGGAGTAAGTTACTCTCTTATTTTTAGTAGCCACCTATAATGTCGTGATTACTATTTCAGATTGCTTGCTATGCCTGCATCACTCATTGTTTTTCTATCACCAAACCAGTAACTGCTATTTAAAGGATTAGTTCACCTCAAAATGAAAGTTTCCGAATAATTTACAAGATATCCATGTTTTTATCCTTCCTCAATGAAAGAGAAATTACATTTTTGTAGGAAAACATTTCTAGATTTTTCTTTGAATAATGGGCTCCAGTAGTCCAACAATTGTAGATAAAAAGTATATAAAATATAATTTTTTTTTCAGAAAATGACTGATCATTTCGCTAGATAAGACAATAATCCTCAGCTGGGAACCTGTATAGTGCGTTGAAGTACTTCAAAGACCTTTGAAACTGCATTCATTTGGACTTTAAAACGTTGTTTACAATTGAAGCCTATTATCCAAAGAAAAATCAAGAAATGTTTTCCCTAAACTTAATTTCTCTTCCACTAAGGAAAGAAAGACATGGATATCTTGGATGGCATTAGGGTGAGTAAATTATTAGGAGATTTTCATTTTGAGGTGAACTAATCAATCGTTTAATCCACTGCTTCAAAGATATGTATGCTCCCTGCCCTGTTTTTACAATAATTTATGTGGAAAAAATCTTTTATTAAATGTATCGCTATGAAATATAATTTTTGTGATGACTCTTGTCTTTACTAAGGAGAGACTACAAAAAAATGGATGCTGTCGATCAAGGGGAGGGTCGTAACCCCACCTGGTGCTCACATGGTGGACTTCACCACTGCCTTGGCCGCTCTCTTCGCCTGTTACGTATTCAACCTACAGTATTAGGTGGAAGCCAGCACAACACTGGAGTTTAATCAGAGGTATTTTTATATTAAATAATTTGACTGCAATGTAAAAGCACATTGACAATTGAAAAGCTGTTCAAAATCATCTTCTCCCTTTAAAATGTTATGTAATAGGTAGGGCCCTATGAAATCCGTTTTATTTTTTCCCAAATTCCGTTTTATTTTTTCCCAAATTTCGTTTTTTCCGTTTTAATTTTAGGGAATTAGGTTTTTTTTTTACCCTTGACTGTTATTTTAGTTGTAAAAAATAGTATGCTTTTAAAGTTAATGATAAAAATCTATTAAAAAAATAAAAATAAATTAGGAATGACCTTAAATTTATTGAGGTAATACAGACAATTACTCAGTAGCCTTTTCAGGACAAATACTGCATGATGCAACATAACACTGCACTCTTCAAGTAACAACAAAATATGGTTATGAGCTTTAAACTGTCCAGTAATATAAATTATATTAGTTTATAAGTTTAAATAAAGTCACACTCTGTCTCTCATGGAGTTCGCTTCGCCTTTGTCCAGTCCGGCGCCTCAGACAGACGTGGTGTGCACGTCGTGTGTGTGTGTGTGTGTGTGAGAGACGCGTGAGTGAGAGAGAGACGGAGGGAGAGCGGGGAAATACAACTGAATGAATACGCTGCGTGTTTTAAATAGTGTTAAAAACCGAAACGCAGTATGTGGCGGCGAATTAAGTGTGGGAAACACTGCATAAGTCACGTGCGAACTGCTCGGCACTGACGGCTTATACCGTTGAGTTTCTTAACTTTTAGTCGACGAAAGGAGAGCCGCTTCGCCATGCTTTCATTGTTTTGATTTCGTCATTGGAGCTGAAATGATGGGTTGGGGGGTTGAGTCGCCCAGATTTGCTTCCCCCGGTCTGCATTTTCAACAGACATACGTTCTTCTCCCACACAAAAACAGAATTTCAAACCAAATATGTAAAAATCCACGAAATTCCGCGTTAACACTAGATTCCGCGTTAATTGGCCAATTCCGCGATTCCGTCCGCGATTTCGTTATCGCGGAAATCATAGGGCCCTAAATAGGGCTGGGCGATATGTCTGAAAACTGTATCACGATATAAGTGTTTCATATTGGTTGATATCGACAATTATTGATATTTTTATGACCTATTTAAAATAAGGACCATGAGAAAAATATATTACATTTAAACATTTTTATTTTAAACCTAAAGGATTAGTTCACCTCAAAATGTAAATTTCCTTATAATTAACTCACCCCAATGGCATCCAAGATATCCATCTCTTTCTTTCTTCAGTGGAAAAGAATTTAAAGGAGAACTCCAGCGTAAAATGAACCGTTGGTCTAATAACACATTTTTACCTAGTCAGCCGTTCTCTGATATTTGTTTTCATGATAATCGAATGTAAAGAGTTTTATCTCTAAAAACTGTTTAGATTATAACGCTAGTATATGGGGACATATAATAAGTAAGATCTATCGCTAGTTAATACCACTAACAAGGCTCAAAATAGCCCCACACTAACACCAAACGGCATTCGTGGTTCGACTTGTCGAGACTGTTTTCCCAAGATGGCTCCTGCCTGTATACGCGAAGTGGACTGTCTTGATAAAATATCTTCTTATTATACTGTCTGTACACTTACAAAGTTCTCAATGCTTCGTTTTGGATGTAGGGACCCTCATTATGTTACTATGTTAGTGTGGGGCTATTTTGAGCCTTGTTAGTGGTATTAACTAGCGATTTCTTTTTACTTAGTCAATGCCCCCATATACTAGCGTTATACACTAAACAGTTTTTAGAGATAAAACACTTTACATTCGATTATCATAAAAACAAATCTCAGAGAATGGTCGACTAGGTACCAATATGTTATTAGACCAAAGGTTCATTTTGCACTGGAGTTCTCCTTTAAGAACTAATCCTTTAAAGGGGAAATTAAGCAGTCAATCAAGTTTACATGATTTACTAGATGGATTTCCACTATAATCAACAATTATACAAGACACATGACAAATGTAAACATATAAAAGAAAAAACTTTATATCTTTCGCCGCCAGGGTGCCGCCATTGCGCAGTATTCTAACATGTGACGTAACGGGGTTGGTTGGCTTTAGTTAATAGGCTTTGGGCAGTGAATATCCCAACATCAAACTGTTTACACCACAGTGTTTTGACCACGGACGACTAATGTTAGGTACAGTTATTAGACAAAAAGACAATGTCTAATGTTGTGTTGACAATCTGCACTGTGTTCACGTGTTCAAACATTGTTCACGATGTCTGCCATCATATTCCCGTCTCGTCAACACCATGTAAGTTACGTTGCTATGTAGAACAGCCGGTGGTGGTTTGGGGCGAAGAGCGGGTTTGCAATGCTAACAGGTGTCAGTATGGCTGTTGAATTGCGATGCCCTCTGTGTCAGAGTCCATCTGCTTTCAAGAGGTTGATCTTGACCATGCGTGGTCAATTCTGCATCACTGGCACGCACGTTTACCATGCTATACCATCTATACTAGTTAAAACTCATAAATAACTACAAATAACTAATGTTAGGGTAATCTGTTATGTTTTGTTGCGTGTTTCTTAAAATATATATATATATATATATATATATATATATATATATATATATATATATCGGCCAATATATAGGAATATCGGATTTTAAAACCAACAAATATTTGTATCGGTATCGGCCTTCAAAATCCTTTATCAGTCGGGCTCTAGTTAAAATAACTGATCTGTCACGAGACGTCTGAATCGGTGTATAACAAATTGGTAACACTTTACAATATGGTTCCATTTATTAAACTCTAGTTAACTACATTAGTTAACATTAACTATTAATAAACTGCACTTCTACAGCATTTATTAAACTTTCTAAATGTTAATTTCACCATTTACTAGTAGCCTAAATTATTTAAATAAGTTGTATTTGTTAAAGGAACACTCCACTTTTGTTTTTTATTGGCTCTACAACTCTCCCAGAGTTAAACAGTTGAGTTTTACCGTTTTCGAAACCATTCAGTCGATTTAATGTGTTTTCTTCTTTAATTTCAGGGCTCCAAATAGGATTCTCTGTCTCCAAGGTCAAGGCATGCAAGAGGCCACAGACCTTTGCCAAGTGGCAGGGGAAGTTTATTTTCCTTTCTGTTTTAAATGTTCATGCAAATGTTAAATATATATTTTTTTAATGTTCAATGTTTTATTTTATTTCAATATTGCCATAATGTTATTTATTGCTCTTTAGAATGGGGTAATCAGTTATTTGCACAACTTCAAAGTAGTTAAATTTTTTGACTGTATTGTATCAATTTGCATTATTGTTCCATTATAGCAACTAGTCATACGGAACTAGTGAATGAACTAGTAACAGTTTGCTCTGTAACTTTACAAATCTTGTAATGAAATAGGCTCGTTGTATCAATTTGTATTAGCCTATTGTTCCGTCATAGCAACCTGTCATACAGAACTATTGAATGAACTAATAACAATTTGCTCTGTAACTTTAAAAAAACGTTTTGTAAAATTTTCTTCAGTCGTAAATTAAAGGAACACGACAACTTGTTGGGACTTTAGCATATTCACTGTATCCCCCAGAGTTAGATATATCTCGTGCATGCTGTAACTCTGTCTGACACACCCACCGCTAGCCTAGCTTAGCACAAAGACTGGGTCTAAATGGCTCCAACTAGCATACTAATCCCAATAAGTGACAAAATAACGCAAACATTTTCCTATTTACATGTTGTGATTTGTATAGTCACAGAGTACAAAAAACAAGGTCATATGTGACACAGCCATCTTTACCGTATAAATATTGGGAACTATATTCTCAGAAGGCGAAGCACTGCTACTTGGGCGGAGTGATAACCACAGCACCCGAGACGCGCCATGGAGAGGAGCAGAGAGTTCGTTCAGAGTTGGAATAATAGAGTCAGCAATTACTAGATAGTGAAAGCATAGTTTACAATCATGGGTGTTCGCTGTATTGTAAAGAGCTGCGACAATAAATGGGAGACCAGGTAATGCCATGATGTTTCATAGAATTCCAAACAAAAATGCTGACCTGTGATATTTATTAGTCAGGATGCATTTTTGTTTGGAATTCTTTGAAACATCATGGCATTACCTGGTCTCCCATTTATTGTCGCAGCTCTTTAAAATACAGCGAACACCCATGATTGTAAACTATGCTTTCACTATCTAGTAATTGCTGACTCTATTAATCCAACTCTGAACGAACTCTCTGCTCCTCTCCACGCGTGTCTCAGGAGCTGCGGTTATCACTAGCAGTGGTTCGCCTTCTGAGACTATAGTTCCCAATATGCGGTTAAATGATGGCTGTGTCTCATATGACCTTGTTATTTGTACACTCTGATTTATACAAATCACAACATAAATAGGAAAATGTTTGCGTTATTTTGTTACTTATTGGATTAGTATGCTAGCTGGAGCCATTTACATCCAGTCTTTGTGCTAAGCTATAGGCTAGCGGTGGGTGTGTCAGACAGAGTTACAGCACGCATGGAGATGAAAAAGGTATGTAAGGATTTATCTAACTCTGGGGGATACGGTGAAAAAGCTAAAGTCCCAAAAAGTCAGAGTGTTCCTTTGAATATAGCAACAGTAGAATAAGCATGATAATAGACTTCACGCCATTAGACTATCTAAAGTTAACACTCCGCTGGGTGTTGTGGCCACATTACTTGCATAGAACGTGCATTAACTTTGGATGGTATAATGGCATGTTGTCCAATGTCCATTATCCCTTTGTTGTACCTGTTTTGTCATTTCTGTTCACCAAATCTTTTTAAATAAATAACTGTTAACAATTTTCTTATTGTCTGCAGTTGATTGCAATGTTTTAGAAAAATGGGTGTTTCTTTTAATGATGGCTAATATTAAATGATAGTGATGTAGTATTTAAATTGTACAGTGAGAAACTGAATTTACAGTGCTTAACCGTTATCTACTGTTTATAGTACTGTGTTGCATACAATACATAAAAAACAGTGCTTAATGTTTTTGTATGTAAATTAAATTGAAATTTTCTTCTACAGTAAAACAATCAATGCTGTAAATACAACTAAAATCACAATATTTCATTTTTGATTTCACAGTGTTTACATAAAATACTGTGAAAAGTACTCTACCCTTACTGTAAAACGTATTCACAGTAACTTACTGGCAACGATTAGCCAGTAAGTTACTGTAAATACAACTAAAATCACAGTATTTAATTGGTTTTGAATTCACAGTATAAACATAAAATACTGTAAATGGAAGTACAGTACCCTTACTGTAAAGAGTATTCACAGTAACTTACTGGCTAATCGTTGCCAGTAAGTTACTGTAAATTTTACAGTAAATTTTTTACAGTGTAGTGTTGTGATCTAACTAACAGACACTCATTAGAAAGTGATTAAGTTACAGCAATAAAAGTCTAGCAAGATAGAAAAACCATCATAGACCTTTATCTACGGATCAATTATAATAATAACATTGAATCATCTTGGAAAGAGATCATCATGTGTTAACTGTTGTAACGCGACGCGCTGTTTGAACACCGAATAGAGAATGACTGACAGCCGCAGTGGAGGGAAAAGCTTAGGTTAACTTGAATTTAATGACTTAAATATACATTTCTATCTCACATTATACTTTAGTATGGCTTCATAAAGTATACACGATTAACGTAGGTCACCTATTTTGGTTTCAAAACGGCGAATTTACCGAAAGGTGAATGATTTTCGTGTATGCTCTGCATATTGATAGCGGTTTCCTGATGCCCGCAAATTAGTTCAAACTCACGGAATCAAGAGCTCGCATGCAAGACAGAAGATAATGTGCTCCAAACCGTCCGTGTTGCGCGCGCGAGGCAGGGTAGAGCGGCGAGGGAGAGAGACTGCGTGTGTGCCTCATGAAGCGCATGTAAGAAGCGCATGTTCCATGTAAACAATCCCCGTGACGTAATCAGACCAACTAATCGACAATGACATTCGTTGACAACGATTTTCATAATCGATTATAATCGATTTTATCGATTAGTTGTTGCAGCCCTACACCAAATTACAGCCATTTTTTCCCAAGGTACACAAATTTCATAATGGTCTATGATAACTAGGGTTGGGTATCAGTTGGGTTTATCCGATACCAGTACTACTCGGTATTTTTTAAACGGTTCCGGTGCCTAAACGGTTCTTGAAACGGTACTTAAGAAAACAAAACTGCACACACTTTGTCAAAAAAAATAATAATAATAATACCCCTTTATTTACAGGGCCAAACTGGACACAATATTAACATACAATATAAATACAAGTAACATATGGTAATAATAAATAAACCAATATAAAATAAAAGTTTCATATTTACATAGTATCAAATAAAACAATATTATATTAAACAATGTAATTATACTGGAGATTAATAGAGATTACTACCAGGGTAATATAATATCGACATGGCTACAGGTTCCCATGTTTTGTCTGCTTTAACTAGTCATGTAAGTTATCTCGTCATTTACTAGTTAAGCTCTTAGCCAGTTTGATATTTCGTTCCCACTGCGTCTTATAGGCAGCTTTGAGTAAAACATATGAAAAGAGAACGTCTCTGTGTAACCCATGTTCTCTGAATAGAGAACGAAACGCTGCGTTCGCTGCTAAATATCTCGCGCTGCTGACAAGCTTCCTTTTTCGGCAGAGAACTCTGAGGAGCAGATGATGCGGGCGCTAATATAATATGACGACGTGAGCTTCAAGGCGGCGCGAATGGTTATTCTATATCCATAGACAATCGTTATTCTGACGCGTAATTTTACATGTGAAATGCAGCCAAACGTTTCACGTGTGTTTAATATCCTCGCTATCAGCAGACGTTCCGGGAGTCTCCCGCATATTGATAACGTCTCCCGGATGATCGCAAAATTAGTTCAAATCTCCCGGAATCTAGAGCGAGCGAGCAAGAGCGCGCGTGCGAGACAGATCAGACAGTGCTTCAATAAACCTTATAGTGCGCGCACGTCGGAGAGGGAGAGGGAGACAGCGAGAGACTGCGTGTGTGCGCCTCATGCAATAGACTCAGGAATCGAAATCAGGCACCGAAGTTTTCATTCTTATTCGGTCTGGTTATTACCGTTTACGTCAGAACCGGTTCCCTATTGGAACCGAGTTTCGGTACCAACCCTAATGATACTGACACAAAGACATGCGTGTGTCAATCAGACCAACGCTACTGTAGTTGGCCAATTTCATGTTTTGTACAATTATAACACCACCGCTTTTTGTGTGTTCAGAATACTGCCTCCATACCAAGTGTCAAATTTTGTGAAAAATATCTCATTTCGTTTAGGAGTTATAGACATTTGTATGAACACACACACACAAAAATTACCGGACACCAACTGGTTGCATTGTTTCGCCACTTACTATCAAAATTTGACATTTGGATATTAGTAAATAGGCAATGTCCTGTTTTGATTTACCTACGGTGGTTCGTTCTCAATCAGACAAACGGTTTTGAGGATATTATGAAAGTTGTTTCAACGATAAATCACAGCGTTGCACAAACCATGAGGAGAAACCTAGCATGTTTGGTATCGTTGGACTCGGCAAGGATTCAGAAATCGCAGGGGATGTCGACTGCTGTGAAAATAAGTCAACTAAATCCATAGTTATAAGCATGTGTATATTTGATTTTACCACTAGGTGTCGCTGGCTGAAACTTCTCAGGCTCCTTCAGGTCACAATGCAGATGACCAATACTGATGGTAGTTCTTAACAATACACTAATATGTGATCAATAAAATACAGAATTTTGGCCTGCTTTCACAGAAAGGGTCTAGATTAAAGGGATAGTTTACCCAAAAAGAAACATTTTGCCATCACTTACTCACCGTCAAGTTGTTCCAAACCTGTATGCCTTTCTTTCGCCAGTAGTGTCATTGACTTCCAACATTCTTTAAAATATCTTCTTTCGTGTTTAACATAACTCATACAGGTTTTGGAAACTTGAGGTTGAGTAAGATGATGA